GTATGTTAAGGATGAAAGATCCAAAGTTTTCTGTTGTGATTAAATGGCCAAGTATGGAAGTCCTTCGGGACCAGAGGCCCTCTGGACGACCAGAGGCCCTCTGGACGACCAGAGCCTCTGGTTGTACTACGCTCTAGGTGAAATTCTGGCAGATTTTTGAGCTAGCAGTCTAATTCACAAATAAGCGATTCTTTATGTTTTGTTTCGTCTAATATTTGTATTTTTTTTATAAAATATATAATTATAAGCTTTGGTATAATCTCACTAAGCCTTGTCGCTTATTTTTTTAGAATAAATTTTCTTTTCAGGAAGGTCGGTAGCTGTCCAAGGGAAAGATAAATCAGTTTAGATCTGCTTGTAGGATTCCAGATCCTGGATATCTTTTTGGTACTTGTTGTGCATATATCGTCTTGAGTTGTATCTATGTATATAATACTTTTGGGTAGATATATTTGTATTTTTTGACCCGACTTATAGTACCGAAAATCGTTGGTTGCAGGCTTYGTTATTTTATWTTTGGTGGAMATCTATAACATATATCCCGTATTTGCTTGGAGATTGTTTTATGGAAAATCTTTTGGATAAATAGTTTCTTTTTATTAAGAATTAGCGTAACCGATGTTACACCTACCATGCCTGTTGTCCAAAATCTTAAGAAACCAGTGATTAGCCCAATTCCACCTTATGTTCCTCACCTACAGAGGTTAAGAAACTTGAAGGAGGAAGTTCAGTTTAAAAAGTTCTTGGATGTGTTCAAACAATTGCACATCAATATTCCATTGGTGGAGGCAATTGAGACTATGCCCAGCTATGCCAGATTTCTGAAAGATATCTTGAGTAAGAAAAAAAAAATTTACTGAATATGAGACTGTGGCCATTACTGAAGGATGTAGTGCCTTCTTGTCAAACAAACTTCCCCCGAAGCTTAAAGACCTTGGAAGTTTCACAATTCCTTGTTCAATAGGTGAGAAACATGTTGGTAAATCCATGTGTGATTTAGGAGCTAGCATCAATCTTATGCCCTTATCTGTGTTTAATACCTTGGGGACAGGAGAGGCTAGGCCAACCACTGTTATCTTATAGTTGGCTGAAAAATCCATAGCATTTCCCAAAGGAAAGATAGAGGATGTATTGGTACAATTGGACAAGTTCATATTTTCTGGTGATCTTATAGTCCTTGACTTTGAGGCAAATAAAGACACCCATTTTTTGTTAGGAAGACCCTTTCTAGCCACTAGTATAACCCCCATTGACGTCCAAAAAGGAGAGTTAACCATAAGAGTGCAGGACCAAAATGTCACCTTTAATGTTTTTAACTTTATGAAATATCCTGAGGAAAAGGAGGACTGTTCTATGGTTGGTGTGTCATGCCCGATTTTTTTTCTTTCGTCGAGTGTCGTGACGTCATTCTTAATAACTTATACTATGAACAAAATACGAACTTAAAAATTCAAACATACATAATGTGTTTAACATAATTAGTTACATAATTGCGGAAGTATAAAATGCTTTAACGTAATCAATTCTAATTAAATATCTAATCAAACATGATTCAAAACATAGTTTCGTCTTTCTTCATTCAACTCGTCTACTGACAATTGAAACCTGAGATATATATATAGGGTTGGGTTCACGTGAGACCAACCTGTTTTCGTGAGACCCGTGAGACCACATTTTTACACGTAACCTTCACAGCAAAAACACTGTGAAGGTTTAAAAAAAGTCGAACCTTCACAGCAAAAACACTGTAAAGGTTTTAAAAAGTCACCTTCACAGCATTTTGCTGTGAAGTTTCAAGTGTAAAATGTTGGTCTCACGGGTCTCACGAAAATAGACTGGTCTCACATGATCCCAAGTATATATATATATATATATATATATATATGTGCATAGTATAAGCTAAAAGCTTAGTGAATACAGTAGGTTTCATGATCACATGCACATATAAATAGTGTTTTAGTGTATTTTTGTTATTATCTTGCAAGTGAGGCCTCGACTCGTCACTTTTCTTTGCATATGTGGCGTATTCTATGGATGAGGACTCCAAGACCTTGGAATTGCAAGCCCTCCTTTCATGTTCAACCCACCCCGTACGGTGGACGAATCTTGCCGAATCATACTAGTTACATATCATTTATTTGCAATACTCACTCATTAATGCAAATCTCATTGTGACATGCAACATGCATCTCATTCAAGTGAAAACATGAATCACATATGCATCATCGTCATTTTTCACATTATCACATACTTGAATATCATATTGATAATATCAAGTCATCATAGTCTTTCTCATCAACATCATATTTCTTATCATGCATATACTTAAATATCATGTACATCAATACAATCAAGTTATCATCATATGCATATAAACACATCATGCAAATATCATGGATAAAATATTTTGTAATAATCATATATATATCCCATAAAAATGGCATAATGTATTCACCTTGAATTGTTAGCGTTTGATAGGTTGTTTTTTCTCAAAAACCATAACCTACATGATAATTCATGTCATTTCTAAGCACCTTAGATAATTGTAACTAAATTGATCATTATTCTCCAACAATCTTAGCACGACTAATCTTAACATTTTTTGTTGATCAATCCCCGATACCATCATATCTCATATTTCGCTCAAATATTTTCTTGAAATATTATTAATAATGTGACGTCATTATAACATTAATTGTCGCTCGTATATTTTATAAAAATGTGCAATACACTTCACATTTATTTTACCAAAATCGCTAAACTAAATAGTTTGCAACGTATATAATGTTTTATGGCCAAAACGTCTCTTTTAAAATTTGTAAGTGAATAATGGGACAACATGTTACACACATATAAATAATGGTCATGCCATAACTTTAAATTACACCATAATTAAATAATCGAAATAATGTATTGTAATCAGCTGTTTAGTGATCGCTAAAACATGTATTGTAATCCTACAACGACAGTTATACTTCAAGAAGACATAACTCACACCCAATAACCTTCAGCAAAAGTCAAAGACTGAAACTGAAGATTAGTGACTCGTGCGTTCATGATCTGAAGTAGTATTCAGTGATTACAACCAGGTCAGCCTATGTGTGAAGACTGCACAAGCCTCAGTGAATGCTAAAGAGACCTCCAGTGTTATTCCAACATTCATCGATCAAATGAAGCTTGCTATACAAGGTTGTTTTGTCTTGTCCTTCCAAACACAAAGGACAAACCCATACCCTTTAAAGAGTATAGTATAGCACAGAGCCGACTAGTCGACTCTACTGCCCACCAACTCCACAAAAGGATGTATGCTCATGAATAGACAATTGTACTATTCACTGTAGCAAATGACAAGCTTTCCTCTAAAAGCTTGACACGTGTTCTATCTCTTCTTAATTGCATTTAATGCAATGGGTATAAATAGCTGAGTGTTGTCTTCACTTATGCAATGCTACGATACAAGCAATTTAGAATTTCTCTCTAATTCTAAGACGCATACCCAAGAAGAACACACTTATGTCTT